CAATTTTTTTTTCTTTTTTTTTTTTTTTTTTTTTTTTTTTTTTTTTTCCTTTCCTTTTTCCTTTTTTTTTTTTTTTTTTTTTTTTTTTTTTTTGTAAAATTGTATTTTCTTCTATTATCTTCAATTATCTGCAACTTTTAAAATGCTCTTAGTGGAGTCACAAGCTTTTGGAAGCTGTGTGGAAGACCTGGAGGAAGCGTTTGGCAGCAGAGGTAAGTGCTGCAGCTGCAGCTGGGTGAGGGAGAAGGACAGCTGTGCTGGGGAGCTGCTCCTCCAGCACCCCAAAGGGTGCCCCCACAGAGCAAGGGGGCACCAAGCCAGCAGCTGAGGCTGAGATGTTTTGGCTTCTCTAAGGGTGGAGAGGGGGACTTCTGCTTTGTGTTAAGGAAGGATGGGTGCTGAGAAGCTCAGCGACGGCCAGAATGGGTAGAAAATGGAAACCTCGCTCTACAGGGCTGTTGCCACTGGGATGATGTTGCCAGTTGGGCAGAAGGGCATCCCAAGATGCAGAGACTGCCTTCCCCTCCCAATCTTCCTGCTGCTTCAGGCCCTAATGTGTTACCCTTTATGGTACTGTAGTACTTGGAGTGTCTTGCCAGACACAGGTTCACATTGCCCAGACATTTCATCAAAAGAAGAGAAAGCCCCCAGCATAATCCTTGCTTCATGCTCAGGGACAAGCAGAAAGCCAAAGCGGGTACCCAGGTGGCCGAAACAGAGACCAAGCACAAGGAGCACCCATGAGGGGGAGAAACGGGGTTTCAGGAACCACACACAGGATTTCCCATCCTGTTCAAACAGGAGGGTCTCACTGAGCTCCCTTATCACGAGGACCTGTCTTAGTGTGTGACTGCAGGTGCCAGTGCAGAGGACCTCTGTGAGCTTCACCAGAAAGCCTCTAGCCTGGCTCTCTGCACACACAAACGTGCCTGCATATGCCAACTGACAGCAGCACAGGGATCCCTAAGTGTCCGCTTGCTATACCTCTATCTCCCTGGCCTCCATGGTCCGCAGGTAGTGAAGTGAAGCAGGAGAGAAGAGCACCCAGACCACAGATGGTAGGACCAGGCTCAGCCAGTGGTGGCGTTTGTCTTTCATCAGAACATGCCATCAGTGTGAGGAAATCAAAGGCAGCCCTACCAGAGCATCATTGTAGAGCAAAGCTGGCAGCACTAGATCCGCTCTTATCTGTTAAATCCTGGTGATGGACTTTCATAACTTTGATCCTGTGAATCATTTGCATGCCATTCTATAGGTATAATTTACACAAATCTGGTCAGAAGCATTCGTTACTGCAGATGCAGAATGGAGCACAGAGAGGGGAAAAACCTTGGGTCATCTTTACTTGAATGGTAGCCAGAGTGGTCCATCCTGATATTGGAGTGGCTTGAAATGGCCAACAGGAGTGGAGGCTGCTAGTACTTCCTTCTGCCACAACCAGCGTCTGATGGGCAGATCTGAATATGTTTCTGGTTGCTTTAATAATTATGTCCTAAGTGTCAACAGAAAAATGTAGAATGCACATACTCCCTCAGTCTGTCCAAAGCAGAAGGGGAAATCTGATAAAATTATTTGGTGTAAAATGCATGCAAAAATATATAACAATATATTATTTGAAGGATTTCAAGCAGTCCAGTTCACAGCCGTGGTTGTCACTGTGACACTCAAAACAGAGGAACTGTGTGGGACTGCTGGTTCTTCAGGCAGGTTGTGAGACATAGTCGTACATGTCTGGTTCACCAGCTCTGAGAGGGCATCTGCAGGGTCACTCAGGAGGCTGCCAGTTGTATGTGCTGGTGGTCCTCCAATGAGACTTGTAACCCAGGTGGGTCAGTACAAAGAATTTGCCATCTCCTAGCTGACTTTTGAATTAGGAAGTGAGGATTCAGTCCAGACCAGTCAAGGACATTGGTGATGCAAGCATTTGGAAGAGAGGCTCAGTTGCCTTCTGTCTGAAGCTCTCCAAAGTCACCCTTTGTTGCTGTGACAATGGGCTGTCTGAACATGCTCTGCAAGCTGTGGCATGACCTGCAGCTTGCACAGAATACAATTCTCGATTTGCAACACAGGGAGGACAGCAGTGCTGGGGTGCTTGGTCTTTTCTGGGGTGCCTTTCCTCTTACGTATTACTTATGCTGGACTTCGTGCAGTATCTGAATATTTAAGAGCTGATAGGTTCTGTAAAAAGTTCAAGGGACTGGTTTTTATCTACAAAGCTTTGGCCAATCAGGCCATGGACATTTGGTTTTACATAAAAACACCTGTCCTGCCTTGCTTTGAGATGAAGCGATGTCAAATTGCACTCAAACACCTACCTCTTTCCAAGACTGACCTTTCTAATGGTGTCAGCTGCCCCCACTTTCATTCTGAAGGTGGCCATCTCAGATGCTTTAGCAGGCTCTGTGTAATTCACTCCCACAAAAGTCTCTCGCCACAAAAGCAAGCTTCCCCAAACTTTGAAAGCTGCTGCCTTGCATGCAATGCTGCATGTTCCACAGACATGCATTTGCTGCTTTTCCAAGCTCAGTAGATGGAGTTAGGGAACGTGGAGGACAGCAAACATACAGCTGTTTTCAAGGGCTTTAGGTGCTGCATTATTTTTGGTGCTCACCTGTTTGCTCAACATACAGTGAGCTTTACTGTCACTCATGGAATAAATCAAGAGGAAATCCTCCAGAAAACAAGTAATAAAGCTGACCCATGTGAAAGAGGAGCCAAACCTCCTATAGACTATACCAAGCCTACTATGCACTGTAGTATAATACATATATTATAAATATATATGTATAATATAGATAATATACACATATGTACATACAAACACACACAAACAAATAATCTGTGTATGTATATGTGTATTTATTTCAACTCTCCCAAGACTTGAGCTCAGAACAGCTTGGATCAGGTGTGCACCACAGCAGGACTGTGGCCATAGCACACGTTTACAAACAAAAGGATAAAAACTGCATGAGGTATACAACAAAATTTCCACTGGCATCCCAAATTCCTGTCTAAGGCTTACGGACTCAGATTGAGCAGCAGCTGGTATCTCTGCCTTTATGCTCAATATTCCACATGTCTGACAATTTCTTTTTGAACCCGTTTCTCTCAGTGCTGCCCAAAAAGGGCCACAGCAGTGACCTGCAGAGCTTTCTGGTGTGTTGTGTGCAAGTATTTGTCCATACACCTCAAAACTTCAGCTGATGTCCCCTCATTGGACTGCGAGCACCAGGAAAAATCTGCTCCCTTTTCACTTTCTCTACACCACTTCTGATCTGCCTTTCCCTACCTCAGTGTACCTCATTGCTCTTTACACCGAAAAAAACACCCAAACAAACCAACCCTAAAACATGGATTATTCTTTTTTGCCTTTTTCTAGTTTTACTCTGTCCTTCAGTAAAGTTCAGCTGGTATCAGTGTAAACAGGACTGAATCAGGACTCCGGACTCTTAATGAGTGGAACTGGAAGGTCTACTGTGATCACACCCCTCCAACTCTTGATGCTGATAGTTTCTTCCAATATGCCATCTCTGGTTCAGGTCCCCCTTTTCATTTTTTTTCCTTCCCCATAATTCTAAATATAAATATGAAAAATGCTTGGGTTTTTTTTCCCCTATAATGCTAAAGTCACTGACAGAAACTAAGAAACACGGCTTTCTGCTGGGTGTTTCCTACAGGTTTGTTTCTCTATGTCCATCACACTGCCTTACTTCTGTGCAGCACTGTGTAGGAATCAGATTTTTAATTTTTGGTTTATTATCCAAGTCTAATGGATGGTGGAGTCGCCATCCCTGGAGGTATTTAAGAAACGTGTAGATGTGGCTCTTCAGGGCATGCTCTAGTGCCCGAGATTATTGGGGTGTGGTGGGGTGTTGTATGTGGTGCTGTTGGTACGGGGCTTGGTTGGTGGTGTTATGTGGTGTGGTGTTTGTGGTGGGTTGTGGCGGTTCGTTTGTTGTTTGTGGTTGTTTTGTTGTTTTGGTTTTGTTTTGTTTTTTTTTTTTGCTGTGTGGTTGGACTCGATGATCTCAGAGGTCCCTTCCAACCACCGAGATTCTGTGATTCTATAATGCTGCAGAGTATTGCTTGTCACAGAAGGCGGCATGGAGCTCACTTTCTTTTTAAATATTGGTAAAAACCATCAGATTCCTTTCTTATAACAAACGTAGTGCTGGTAAAAAGGGCCAAGCAAGTAGCCTCTGCAAACTGATACCTGCTGTTTGGACCAGAGGGGTTGACCATACCCATCCACAGGTACATGTAGTTCTCTTTGGTCCATTGGCTTTGGCAAAGCCTCTGCATTAGTTAAGCAAGCAGATGCTCATCATGAAGGAGAATATTAAATTGCTTTTCGTAGAGATACAGGGTTGCTTAGTTCCAGGTTTGGGTTGGGTTGTTGGGTTTTTTCCCAGTCCAGTTCCAGTCCAGAAATGGAGGGGCAGAGTGCTCTATGGGGAGAAATCATCTGAGGTATGATTACAGTTCTTTACAGACTTCCTGCGGGACCCAGAAAGAGATGCTTAAATACTCTGTGCCTCTTAAAAACCAATAATAACAATAAACTTCACCTTCCTTGCCAGGATAATGCAAAATCTGGGCTATAATAATTTCATATGCTTTGCAATGAGGCACACAGAAAACTAAGAAAATATTTTCAGAAATGAGCCTTTTTATTACTTGTTTTGAAACCCAAATGACTGTGGATTTGTGCGCATTTCAATTTATTGAGGGCCCAATGTCAGCTCCCATCCTGCTCCCTAAAGTGAGCAGCAGGTGGTTCTGGGGGAAATCACTTTTCATGCCCAAAGGTCTCACTTTGCTTCTAATGAATATTAAGATTGTGAAGTCTTTCTACTAATTCTTGACCTCATTTGGACAGGTCTACTTGAGGAATCAATAGCCATTTTCTTAGATTAAGGGAAGATAAAAATCAAACATATCAAAAGTATTAAAAATTGCTTTTGTGGATAACACACCTCCTTCGACATGCCTAGTTGACAGAATTTGGTTAATTCTGTGGGCATTATATCTCTATTACGTGGGAGGCTCTCAGCAGAAAGGGAAATTTATAGAGGTTGAATCCACAGTCCCTTACCTTCAGTAGAAGGGCTCTGACTTACACTGCTGCAGGACCTTTCCCAGCATGTCTTCTGTGGATTACTAAGTCTTGACCTAACCATTGCTTTTAAACCATCTCAAACGGAAAGTTTCTGAGCTGGGGATGGACTTATCCAGCAGCTTAGCTTTATAAGAACATGGCACTTGTTCTCAGGGCTTTTCTGGAAGAGGGATTTCCCGATCCAGGACTGTAGGGAGGGTAAGGAGTGCTTTTCCTGTAACGTGTAGGTGGTGGGTGGCCTTGCAGGAAGTCACAGCTAGGGTCAAGTGATGCCCTAATCTTCTCCTTAAGGCTTCTGTCAATTCTCCCCCCATGCAGGTGACGGATCAGGGATCTGCAAAGAGCTCAGTCCCCTCAGTGGCTGCTGGTGGAAGAGTCAGTGCCACAAGGGCCTCCTTGGAGCGTCACATGGAGCCAACACTGGATTTCACTGTAGATGGCTCTGAGAGCATTTTCCACATGTGGGTCCCTCTCCATCGTTTGCGGAGAAGTACTTCTGACTCCAAGGGGAAATAAAGGTAGTTCTTCAGCATGCCATTTCCAACTTTGTTGGATTTCTTCTATAGAGTATTGATCAGATTTATAGCTTTCTTAAAATGCTCTTGGTGTTCTCTGAGGAGGAAGTTGTTTTTATGTTACTTGCCTCTTCCTGTCTCTCCCACAGTTATGCAAAATATACATAACTTTTAATGAGACAGATTTTTTATATTATTGGTTTGTTCATTTAGTCTCAATGGCCATTTTGGGGGATTGGATCACAAAATCCTAAGACATGCTATCTGTGCTCAAACAGCTACATCCAGGGATATCATCCCTTCCATTCCCATCAGTACCTGCCACTATTATGCCACTTTATTCTGGGATTTGTGTGAAACATACTTCTATTGTGTCACTTCAGCAGCAGCGGGAGGCCAGACAAGATCCCAGCAAGGAAAGGAAGGCAAACAAATGCCCTTATTAGAGGTTTTGACAAGGAAAAGGAGATCCTAGATAAGGACTAAAGTGAGTCTGAGAGGGACCTGCAGAAATGTGCCCTCTGTTCTCTTTTTGGGTATACCCACAAGTTGTAAGAAACCTAGAAAGGCAAATCTTCTGAATTTACCAATTGGAGAGGGAGCCTGGGCTTTTTACTTATGGAAAATAGCTTTCTGTAAAATGCATTTCTTTGTTCTCTGGTATCTCTTTCTTACTGAGCAATAGGCCAGTTGCAATTATCAGCATACTGTATGAGGACAGCAGCATGATGTTGTTATGCTAATTATTAATAACAGAAAAAAAATCTGTTACTGTCTTAATACCAGAGGGAGTGAGGAAAATTAATTTTACTATGAAGCTATGCATAGTGTAAATGTGTATTGATATCTGCTTTCTGAGCTCCTTATTCTCTTTATATCTGATTTTGCTCCATCAGATTCTTACCGAGGCTCTGGCTTTTTATGCTTATTGTTATCTTAGTTTTTAAAAATGTGTAGTACACACGCAGATAATACACTGACTTCTCTAGTATCTGCAGAACATGTCGATATTTGCAGGTCTCATGTTCTTCTCATGCGTGCTGGACTTTTGCACGCATAACTATATATGATGAGAAAGCCACCGAGCTGAAGTAGGGGATTCCTGGGGTCGGGGGAGAGAGGGGACTTGCTACACGCAGCCTTGGGCTCTTACCACAGCCCCGTGCCAGCCTCCTTCACCTTCAGCCATATGTATAATCACTGGGCGGCACTGACTGCTGGTCTGTCAAAGCCAGGCCCAGGAGATGCTTATTGGGAAAGTGAAGTCAAATCAGCAGGGCAGGGTTTACTGCCCAGCTGCGGTTGCCTCTCCCGCCCTGACCTCCCCCTGTGCACAGCATCGGGTGGACGGGGCACACACGAAAGGCGGGCGCTGGTGCCTCCTCCCCAGCTCCCTCTCTGCCCCGGGTACCTCCACCTCCCTCCTCTCCTTGTGTCTAGCCCGGAGTGGCGATGGGGCCGCTGCAGCCCCCGGGCAGCCTGGCAGGGCCCTGCCGACAGCCGGGGGCAGGCAGAACAAACCCTTCGGAGAGATGCACGGGGAAATAGTTTTCCCCCCTTGCAAAATTCCCAAGTAAACCCCCAAGTGTCCCATGCCTGATGGGACACGAGAGGCCTTCATCCCCTCTGCACATGCACACACACACACACACACACTTACACAGAGCACTGGGCAGCACTAAGTGCTTTCGGTCTTTTAATGCACACCTTGACTTCAGAGGAACACCAGGACTCCCTTCCACCCTCTGTGGAGCCCCTGTGGGCTGTCGTTAAGCCTAACCCCACTTTGGCCTTGGTTTTGCTCCTTTAGCAAAAAAACCAGCGAGACACACACTGTGCAGCCAGAAAAACCTTCTGCTGGAAGCAGCGCACGGATGCGTGTTTGCTTCTCAGAGGGGAGGGCTGAGCCGGGGCATTTCACACCTCTGAGATGAGAAACTGATGGGCTTTTTAAATTTTCTATTGCACTACAGGACACAAGGCCACCTTTCTCCCACTCTTTCTCTGCTATGAACCCTGAAAGAAGTGAAGCCAGAAGAGCGACCTTGGATTTATATCACTGATGACAAGAACAACATCTGCCTGAAAGTGAGATTAAAAAACTTGCACTGTAAGGATAAAAACGGTGCTCCCATAAAATTCTCCACATACAGTAAATTGGGTTATAAAGCAGGTACTGGCAAATCAGCAGGACATCTTTTAAGTAACAGAAAGCTTATGAAATCACTGCACTCATAAAAGATTTACCTTCGCTTCTTTGTTATTCTGTATTTTTTTTCTTACTGTAAATCATTGCCACTGAGTTTAATAGGGCTTACACAATAATGTAAGTATCTCTTAAGTAATATAATTGCTATTTGTGATCCCACTCATGCTTGAAAGCTTTTTTTACTGGAGGGGAAATCTTCCATTTTCCAAGTGACTCATTTGTAATGAAAACTGAAAAAAATCAATTTGCAATGAAAGTGAATAAATCAGGAAGGCATTTTTATATGACACGCAGTGTATCAGTTGGGGATTTTGAGTAGCTGTTTTAAGATTCAGCAGCACATTGCTCATGGAGACTTGGTCTGTCAATCACAGCTGGTCCAGAGTTGCTGGGGTAGGAATGTTTTTAGCCCTCGTTTTTCAAATAACCTCTTATATTGCACTTTCACATAACCGAAGTAGCTTTTTTGCTTGGAAAAAAATGCAGTATTGAATAAGTGTGGGGTCTGGAGGAGACCAGCACAGCACAAGCCATTGAGGTGCAGGGTCTACACCTCCCTGGAATGGAGGACTCCAGCCCAACACATAGTGCACGGGGCTGCATGTTTCCCCCCTTCTTTAACCCTTCTGCTGAGACCCACCCCCTGCTAGTGCCAGCCGAGAGATGAATCTTGATTACTCATCTAATTCCACCATAAGCAGCAGGCACCAAGGCTTTAACGAAGCTAGTGAAGCACGACAGCACGGGCACCAGCATGCAACTGAACCAGCAACGCTGGAGACCTGACACAGGAGGGGATGGTCACTTCTGCTGCCTCTCTCCAGCATTTCAATAACCCCTAACAACCCCTCCCCAACAGGTTATTCTGGGGACGAGTGTTCACAAATCAGCCAAAGATGAGAGGTTTCCCCTCCGGTGGCAGAGGAGCGAGAGAAGAGAAAGTGATACTGACTATTGGTCCACTTACATCATTGGGAATAGTAAGTTCATGGGAACTGGTTGGAGTAGTGGCATCCAGTCCTATTCAGGGGACAGAGGGAAAATGTTACGCCGGTTGTTTGAACGAAGGGCAAGACACAACAAATGATATTTTAAAGAAGGAAACATACAGAAAGAAGGAAAATTAAAAAAAAAAAAAAAAAAAAAAAGCAACATCTTGACACAGATGAGGAGAGCTATACTGTCTCTAGGAGAACCATGGTAAATGCTACACATTAGGTTCATTTTACCATTCAGTAAAATCCGGTAACAGGATCTGATTTATCTTTTATCAACCTGATACACATCTACGTATTCCTAACTTACAGAGGACAGAGTAGAATATGGTTTAGGAATTACTTGTTCTCAAATAAGAAAAATAAAAAAAAAAAAAAAAAGAAAAGAAAAAGAGAGGAGCAAAGAAAAATAAAGAACTGCTAGCGAAACAGAAAAGAAAGCAAGAGATGCAAAACTCAGAGGGCTGGACTACTTTTAAATGAGTCTTATTTTAATTAACCTTTAACCCACCAAAGCAACAAATGTCACACGAGATTCCACACGGTCATAAAAAGCTTCTAGAAAATGAAGGGTTTCCCCTAAAAACAGTCTCTGAAGTTTGTTCGAAACACATCAATTGAGGAATTAATGAATGGCTGAAATTTGACCTGTCTACCAGGAGTTCTAGATACAGAAAATTAAAGTGGAAGTCAAACGAACAATTAGCAGAACAAAATACATCAATATGAAAAAGAAAAATTTATAAATTAAAATAAGGATGAGGAAATTAACCTAGGAAAATTTGGAAATTATGGGTGGGATTAGTTGCTGGGAGAAATGTTGGGAAGGGTAATTTTTGAAGGGAAATCTACAAAATACTCTAAGCTGCATACATTTGTTTGTAAATTGGGTGGACAAAAGGAAAATGCTCAGGAAAAACAGAATTACTGCTCTAACACACATTAACATTACAGAAACGTACGTCTCACAAATATAACCAGGAAAAGATTAAGGAGCAGCATGTTAATTACAAGAATAAGGAAAATATAAAGCTAGGAAAGGCAACTTAGTATTACTTGTATATATTTTATCAGATACATCATGAAGAAACAAAAGTATATTTTGGATGTCATTTCTTTCTCTCCTTTTCACTTTTTTGGGTCTTTATTATTTTATTATCTGTAAAGACATGCCAAAAATATTCATTTCCAGCTAGAAAAGATGGAAAAGAAATACTCCTACAAAAAAGTGATTCACCTACATTTTACTTCTGTTTACATTCAATTAAGAGCCGCATATGCTTATTTCATATTGAATATAAAAGAATCAAGTTGCTGACAGAATTTGATGTATGTGATAAAATGTTATTTGCCATACAGAGCATGTACCAGTACATATGTACTTCTGTTTTGTGAAGTTTTTAGATGCCAAGCATGTAGTGCGCAGTAAAAATATTTATTGCAGGGTTAACTGACTTCTCAGTCTTGAATCAAGAATTTGGCTTCAGCTTTAATACATATGGACCAAATTTACAGTCCTTAATTTAACTAAATTTCCATTGCATTTTGTAGCAATAGCTGCATCTCTAGTAGGAAGAGAGGCACTTATCCCAGCCGTGATGATTGCAGATGCTCTTAAGAAATCTGGCTTTACAAAGAATTCAAGTTTGAGCGTGTCATAATTTCTTTAATCAGTATTTCAGTACCACAATTACATACTGTTTTTCCCGTGTTTACTTCTTTCTGAACAACGTTACCAAACTGGAAATTTGACAAGATGCACGCCCAAGTACTTCACTCGGGACCAACTGGTACATACTGTATGCTCCACAATAACTTTACAAGGACTGAACAAAAGAAATCAGGGCCTTTAGCCAATGGCACAAATGAAGCAGTTTTGACTAAATAAATGTAACAAACAAAGCACGTTTTAGTAATGATGAAAGGAACTGTAACAGAGGCATGGGGAGGGGAAGGGTAGAACAGATTAATGTGTAAAAACAGAAGGATCGCTGGTCATTGACCACATTTATTATTAAAATGATGTAATGACCACGGGAAACAAAGCTGTTAAGAAGAAGGACATCCCCAGGGGGTCATGGGTACGTACCAGGGAAACCAGGGGTGGTCTGCCCAAGGGGAGTAAAGGGGGGATGCTGCATAGCCAACTGGTGAAGCTTGGTCAACTGCAGGGCAGGATGGGAAATTAGAACTAACCAATCAAATGGAATTATTTCAGAGCAGAGAAACCATCTTACATGTTCTAAAACCGGATTAATTAAAATTATATTGGAAAAAAAAAAAAAAAAAAGGCTAATCATTCATTCTAATCTACCATAGAGGAAAAAAATCCAAACTGGTTATAAATGACATCTCTACTGTTGTTACATGTAATGGCTATTGTTAATATTAACTAATTACTGTAGAATTACATATTGAAAGAACTCAAATATATCACATGCAAAAAAAGACCAAGATAACTGTCATTTGTTCCTGGGCCATTGTACTTTCTAGCAATTATTACACAAGGTAAGAGATGCAGCTGAGCTAACACTTGGCTCTATAGTGTGCTCTTCAGGAAAGGTGTCCTTAGGCCGTGTCTTTATTCCTAACTGTAGAAAGCCAATGTTGCCCAGAACAAATAAGAGGGAGAGGAAGAAATAGGGAGTAATTTACATGCGCAGGACTCACGTCTGGATGAGGGATGGCGTACTGCCCCTGAATCGTGAATGCCTGAGAACAAGAAGCACAGTTAAAACAGAGGTCAGTTGGGTGGGACAAGCAGCGTTCCTCTTCTCATCAGAACAGCTCTCCCTGGCTCCCCAGGCAAACGCCACCTGCATCGCTTTCAACACTGAGCAAAGCCTAATTGTCTTGTGCTGCTTCATAATGCTTGGCATGGGACAGAAAGATCTCGGTTGGGCTGCCCGCACACCCCTGGCAAGCAGATACAACTGCCACTGCCTGAACTCTGGTGACCCCAGTCCTCAGGACCCCTCTTCAGCCCAGCTCCATCCGCTGGGAGCAAAGCTGGAGACACCATGGAGGCTGAGGAGCATGGAGGGTGGCCCCTTCCCCTCCCTGCTGCCGCATCCACCCAGCACCACTGGTGCACGCGGGGAGATACTGGTGCTGGGGCAGCAAGGATGGGAAGACCTGCCCAGGGGATGTCCTGCCCTGACATCCATCACCTGACTGCTGTGTGCAACTCTGAGCCACCTCTTCTGGCCCCTGACAGTCACAAGTGCTTAGTGCCAGCAAACGTGTGCCCTGGTGCACCCTGCCGGCATCCGTGCCCCAGGCTGCCCTGACAGCAAGTAGGTGAGCACGTGTGCTGGATGGCAGCCTGTCCTGCAGTGCCTTGGCTTGGGGTCAGCACGCCAATTTGGAGATGGGAGCTCAATGGAGAGTCCCATCGCTCCTGGCAGCACCAGGGTGAGGTGGGGAATGAGAAGAAAGTACGTGAGGGAGGAGGGATATGGTAGCACGCCTGGCACCAGCTAGCACAGCCCTTCGTCTCTGCCGCTGGCTCTATTCAACTCTCTATAGCCGTCTATAGAGGAAAAAATATAGAGAGTTTATAATTTTCAATTATGTCCTGTGGGGCTTTTCTGAAAGGAATGGCATGTCAGAAAAATTTTAATGTGCTTGTGCTTAGACAGGCAGGAAAGCAGAAGTACAAATCACACTGTATAAATATTTGTAGTGGAAGAATTATAAACAGGAACAGAGCTGATTAGCTTAGTTTGCAAAATGCTTATTTGACAAAAGGCCTCTTAGAAAGTAGTGAATCCTCTGCAAATGATAAAAAAAATCATTTAATGGAATTTGGATATTAAAACCTTTAATGCTCCAACTGCTTAATGCACACTTCTGCAGCAGAACTTCCCTTCCAGAGAACAAATGTTTCATTTAGTTTTAAATTAGTTATAAAGCAAGGCTGCTATCTGACAAATATCATGCACATGAGCAGTTTTCAGGCAGAAATGTCTGCCTGGGCTCAATGGGATCATCATGGGCATATCTACTCACAGGGGATGGCCATTAAAGATGGTTTATAAATGACAAGAAAAGGTTCCAGTTCACCAAAACAGGGGATCACTGCTGTTAGTGCTCTTAAGCAAGTACATATTCAAGCAAGCAAAATATGCGTTTAAGTGTTTTACCAAATGAAGACAACCTCAAACAAATATCAGGCTGCTTTGCTGAGTGGGAGCTCTGTGTGTAGCCAAGCACAGGAGCAGCCTCGGGGACGTTAGAGGTAGAAATGGTGCTGGGCAGGGAGCTTAGGTCCATGAGCAAACAGCAGGTTTGGAAACCACGCTTTGGTCTCTGAGCCTCTATGCTGGATCACAAGTGTCCCTTCTGACCTTGGCTTTACTTCAAACCCAGCTCAGAGAACACCTTTTACATAGGTGCTTCCCAAGCAGTAGTCTGCCAGCCAGCAAGAAACCACTGCAAAAACATCACCATAGAATCACTAATAGAAGTCAGTCTTTTCCTCATCACTCTGCTCCCCATGCTTCCATGCATACATATGAGGAAGTAAACAAACTGCAGAAATAACAAAAAATAATGAACATTCAGAGCTCAGACTAGTTTTTTTTGTATCATCAATGAAAACCATCAAAGCAGCATGGACCAGATGGGATTTGAATTTTCTTTCCCAGTGCAAAAAATCCAAAAAATTCTTCACTTCTTAGGTCATTTGATTGATTTAGGTTGAGAAAAACTGTTTTTGACTGCTTTACCCCTTGACAGAAGAACTGTGCCCTTCTGTGGCTGAGGCATGCCAAGTCCAAGCCTGGTAGAGGCTACGGAGACACCTGTACTGTAACATTTCACTAAGGACAGGAGCTACGGGTCTGCTTCCACCAAAGTCAAGGGCAGCTTTCCTACTGATGTGCTGACATTAGTAACAGCAGGAATGACCTGGTCTACAAATCTTCCTCAATTTAAACCATAAAGCTGCTACAAGACATAAAGCAAAGCTGTACCCTGTGAGTACCCGTCTAAATCGCAGTGCAGCACAGTGGGTAGAGATTTCCAATTTGTTCTCATCAGGCAAAAGTGTTGGATTTATTTTTTTTTTTTAAACCACTGCATATGCTAAATATTGGTAAGGAGTGGAGCAGAGAAGGGCAGGACAGTGTTCAGCTTCCTTTTAGTTCTGTCATGCAGTGCAGTATTGAAGAAGCACAAGACAATTAAAAACAACACTTAAAGCAGAAGGACCCCAACTTGTTAAGGAAAAATAGAAATTTGATTTTTCTAGTGTTGCTTGATACACAAACATTATACAAACCAAAACCTTTCAAGATATCCGTGCCATCATTTAGAATGGAAAATTAACTTCTGCTAGTGTAGCCAAAAGTTTGGATGGAATTAACATTGCTCATAAAATTTTGTTTTCAGTATTAATTTCCACTTATGAAATGTAGTTAAAGTGTCTTTCCATACTGACTCCCAAGCATTCGTTAAGAATTTTCTTAAAAAGTTTGCTTATTCAGAGACTAAATTCAAAGCACAAAGAAAGTGTCTGTCTCTTACACTCTTTTTCACACCAACAAGGCTGCATTAGAAAGGTGAGAACATTTTTTCAGCTGATAAAACTGAAGATGACAAGCTATTAGACCTTAAAATAGGACACTTTCAATTATTTATACAAACTGCTCAGAGCACTCTAGCAAACAGTTTCAAATATTTTTGAGTAATCAAAGACAGTCTTTGAAGGTAGTGGCAATTACAATACTGATAACATGGGCTGCTGCCTATATGCACACATATTTCTTAAAGGAAAGCACTGCAGTGTAAACTTATATATATATATATGAAGTAAATTATTCTGGACTTTCAGTCATAGACCAATTTCTGGAAAATTATTTTCAATTTCAATTCAGCCTTGGTCACTAAGAAAGCAGATTTTTTATCTTGAAGACAACTGAGAGTAGTAAACTTGAACACCAGGAATTGAAAGCTACTACATCTGGATTATGAAAATCTGGAGATACATCACAAGATATCATTACAGAGTAGAAGGTAAAACCCTGAGACAAAAATTCAGAGAAAGCTCCTTACAAGGGCCTCTCAGAAGCAATGGTGCTTTGATATATGCTTCAGATATGCAGGAGCTTCCTTACAAACCAGCAGATCAGGAGGCACGGGTTTCCATACCGCCAATAGTACCAGCAGCACCTTCTGCCCTCTGACCCACCAGGAACCCTGTGTACAGCTTCTCATAGACTACCTCCAAAATCCCTACTGGGGTGAGACATGGTCTCTAGGGCTGCTGTGCCCTCAGCCCACACCCCGTGACAGGGTGATAACCTGGGCTAGGCTAATGGGAAGGAAGGTGGGACCTGCCTGCAGATAGAATCATAGAATTGTCTAGGTTCAAAGGAACCTTTAAGATCATCTAGCCCAACCCTAACTCTGAGAAAAACCATCACTAAACCATGTCAATAAGCATTATGTGAACCCGTCTTTTAAATACTTATAGGGATGGTTCCTCAACCACTTCCCTAGGCAGCCCATTCCAATGCTTAATAACCTTTCAGTGTAAAAAAATTTCCTAATATCCAATCTGAACCTCACTTGGTGCAACTTGAGGCCATTTCCTCTTGCCCTATCACCTGTGACTTGGGAGAAGAGATTGACTCCCACCTCCCTACACCCTCCTTTCAGGTAGTTGAAGAGAGTGATAAGGTCTCCCCTCAGCCTCCTTTTCTGCAGGCTGAATAACGCCAGCTCCCTCAGCCTCTCCTCATAAGACTTATTCTGCAGACCCCTCACCAGCTTCATTGCCCTTCTCTGGACCCACTCAAGCACCTCAGTGTGCCACCATGTAGGTAAGTGGCTCTTTCCGCAGCGTAACTGCTCAAAAAGGGGCCTTGCTGTCATCTGTGGGAAAAGATGTGGCTGGGTGGGGGTGCCCTACTGCCAGAGAGGCTTCACATACCTGAATCCCAAGTGGAGAGATGGATGCCTTCCTCTAGGCCAGATTTAGGACATCATTTTCCCCTTGAGACGGGGAGGGCTTGCAGCATCTCACTCTTCCACCTTTGCACATATCTGGGCAGTGCTGCTTTTAGCCTCCTGTGGTGTTTTTAGAGTGAATATCAATTGTGTTCATTGCTGGCTCATCACTTACTAAAATTGCATTCTCCCTGCGATGGATGATGGCCGAGCAAATTCCCATCATGTCTTAGTGGCAGGTTGCAGAGCATTACAGAGCATTATCAAAATACAAGGAAGAGCCACATTGCACATGGGGTTTTAAAGGCAGATGAGAACCCTGACTGATAAAGCTTAAGATGAAGGGGGAATTGTCAAAACTACACTTTCTAAAGAAGAAACAAGAAAGCCTCATATTATCAATCAGGCTGTTGCACGCCATGGTTAAGAAGGTCTGCACTTGTCTATAGTTCCTGTAAACCTCAGAACCCCACTGCTACTTGGTCCTGAGAGACTATAAGTGGCAGGAATTATGTGTGTGCAGATTTTTACTGCAAAATGTACTACTTGGTCCTAAAAAATACAAAAACTATGAAAGAAATCTTATGCCTTTCATGAGCAGAGACATCCTGCTGTTTGATCATCTCTGAAAAGTTGACAAAACTGCTTATACTGCTAGTGTAGCTGCAAATTAGGAGTGAAAAAACCAACCCCTAAAATAAGCAGTTTTTTCCCATTCAGGGAGCATCCAATTTGAACACCTCTCATTTTGCAGAAGGTAAACTCTTCTTAATTACAGAAGTTAATTTTAAATCTTGGTAAAATACCACTTATCACAATTTTGCGTTGAGTTTGCAATGCAGTGTTCTCCTTTCCTGCAAACTGTAAGCACACAGAGTAGACAAAGCACATCAATACTATACCAGGCAAAAAAGAGTAAATGTTGAAAACTAACAGGCGCTGGCTGAGGTTGGGCCAAGACGGTGTGGTTTCCAGCTGAAGCCAAAATGGTGTCTGCTCTTACCTGGCCACCTGCAAAAATGATAGGTGCAGAGGCAGGTTTGGGACGGTAGGGGATGGTGGCACCTTTGGGTGGGGACTGCAGACAAAAACACAAAGTGATCAAAATGCAGAATGAAGCAGAACTCGTTATTACAAAATAATAAATAAATCACTCCTTATCTCGGTCACCTCAGACAACAAGGTGTGCAGCTAACCCAGCCCAGCCCACACCACCCTGCCCTCCACCCCATCAGCCCAACAGCAAGCCAGAGGTCGGTTGCCTGGGCTTTGAGGGGAAGAGCTGAGGTCCCACCTGCACAGCTGAAACAGGCAGTGCTGGCACTCATGGCTTCATTACAGCCATCATCAGATGAGGCTATGAAGCTTCATTAAGCATGTCAAGGCATTTCAGGAAACCTGGGCATAATTTTGAAATTTGTTGATGTTTTGGGAGAATCCAGCTTGTGCTCTCGCTTTGTTAACACAGAGCACATCTCCTGCTTATCGATCTTTCCTACACCGCTACACGTCCAGCTTTCTTGTTTTACCAACTCAATTAAGTCAGATGTTCAATTGCAAATGACCAGCCTGATCCTGCCTTTCATCTGACTGAGCTGGAAGGTTGGAGAAAAATCCCCTCAGCTTCAGCAGGAGCATAACCACTGCCCTCGTAATGCATGGGAATAGAGTTTGTTCCCTGCAGCACAAGGCAAGGACCCCATGGGGAAATCCCTGACCAAGACCAACTTCTTCCTCATATATAAAGCAGAAGCACGTGCCTGTAAAAAAGGCTTCAAACTGTCTGCACAACACCTAGCAGAATGGTGCCCTGGTCCAGCACATTAACTACAACTAAAGAAGGTGACAACAATACCACTTACATTCATTAATGTCATATAATCAGTTATTTCATGTCAATGAAAGTGTTTGTTGCCAAATTAAACATATGCTGCAAATTAAAGCACATTCATTTTCTGACTTATTTAAATGTTTGAAGAAAAAAACTGTAGTTAAGCCACTGTCAACTTAATGCTGCTTGGGATTTGACTTATGTTAAAATTAAGGGCTTATAATGTCTAAACCAGTTATTTAAAAAGTGGCTCTACCTGCGGGAAAATAGGACTGTGTCTCTCCAATTTTGAGAAGTGGCTTCTGTCATCTTCTTTAGCAAATAAGTATTTATTCCATGAATGTCACTTGGACAATAGAGTACACACTGCATTCAGAGAGAGCTGATAACTACTGCCATTGCATATTCCTTCTCTAACAAACTAAAATTATTTTAAAATATTTTTCTTTCTGTTTTTGTGCATTTTTATAAAGAAATTCCTTCCTCACAGCAGTGAAAAAAAAAATGAAGCAAGAGTCACTTTTCCCCAGTAAAACAATGGGGATTTATTAATTTCTATGCTTTTATTTGCATTAGGCTGTATGACATTTTGATGCAAAGGTTGTGCATCATTTTTGATCCATTGCATGCTTCCTAAGAGCCAACAGCCGTAGTGCTGTCCAAACACTCTGCTGTTACTCCCCTTTTTAAAGGATGACAGAAGAATAGGGTGTCAGAGATCATAATGACACAGCCCTTGACTAGGCTTAGGTAAAAAACCAAACCAAAAATCCACAGAAAATTTTCCAGCAGAAAATTTGATAAAAGCTGGGATGTTTCACAAAAAATAGGGTTACTTTGTCAAAATATTTCATTTTGATTTGTTGAACTATTTTTTTTTTTCTTCAAACTTCTATTCAACTAAATCAGTTGAGAAATGCACTTGCATGAAATTATGGGAATTTTCAGCAAGGGTTAAAATGCCCAGATTTTTATATAAATTAATTTTGTATCATTTAATCTAAGAGCTAAAAAACCGGCCTTAACATTCTGGCCTCCTGCAATGACCTGACCCTAAGGAAGCAAAAAGTCCTGGTGAATCTAAATTACGCCAGCCAGAATTTTTTATATTTAAAACAAGACCTACATGTTTTCTGTCCTATTCTGCATCAGAATAAAATGCTTTTCTCCTAAAAAGGGCTGCAGCTCCATGCTGGACCTGGCTCGTTGTTTGACAGTGTCATGAGGGCCCTGGTCTTTGATTGCTAAACCCTGCTGTGAGAGGCTCTCAAACACCAGGAAAAGCACATTCTAACAGAGCCCTCTTGAAATCCCTGGCACAGGAAGGGCAGGCAGCACGCCTGGGGAACCCACTTAAAAAATTAATGACATGTTTGAGCATCTTCTGAGCGAGGATTGATAATGCCAAGCGCTCGCTTACCTCCAGCATAACCACGCATATTTGTTTGACGCACTGGATGATGGCGTCGGGGGTGCCCGATATAGTCACCGCACGCTCCGTTGAGTTTGGCAGCATGTCCCCCGCGACCTGCACCTGGGCTCCTGTGGACTTGAGCAGAGACAAAGCAAAGAGAGTGTCACCGTCAGGCAGGTGACCTCTCAAAAGGCCGGTCAGACACCTCCCCAAAGCCAGTGATGCACCCATGTGATGGAGGGGATGCGCCTCTAAACTGTTTTGTCTTTCCTTTGCCAGATACATGATAGAGTGTGTATGCAAATTCATGCCCAGACAGGATAATTGGGGTCTGGCAGGACATGGATTTGTCTGTTCAAGCCAATTTGCAAACACTCCCACCCATCCTAGGAAGATTAGTCCTCAGTAGCTGTTAACAAATCAAACCGTGACCTGAATTTCAGGACAAGTCTTTTAACCCCCTCAAAGACAGGCAGTTGTAATGCTGACTGAAAAATGAAAAAGGTGAAATGAAGCACTAATTAAAAAAAAAAAAAAGGAAAAAAGCACTGAAAACTGAAGAAGGTCTGCTAATCAAATAAGTTGCAGATAAATGGCTCTTTATTCCACTGATGGCTGACTTGCGTCTCTGGATGAAATTTGGGGCTGCCTTATGCTCTGTTATATCTCAGGATGGTAAAGAAGCACTTCTAAATTATAATTAGTGTTGATTAAATATATGCATATCATCAACTTTTATCTCATTAATGAAGCCAAGGAGGTAAAGAAGGTAATGAGCTATTTTTTTGTTTGTTTTGTGGTTTGTTTTTATTATTTTTTTTAATTTGATCTTGACACTAACGTATCTTAGTTAACCTAAAAAAAAAACATAAAAGAAAGAAAAAATATATGAGGTTAAAATAATCTCTGGCACTATTTCACAAACATCCTGAAAAGGCCTTTCAGTCAACAGAAAGAACCCCAGGCATCTCATATTTAGTTAACACTTTCACATACTGCAAACAAAATCTCTTCCTGACTGTTACTGCAATGCAATATTTTGCGATTTTGAAAAAAAGTGTTTTCAGTATCCATTGATTTTGTGTCAGTCCACAAGGAGTTAATTTGCTTTCCCGCTGGTTACATACAACACATGCTATTCTTCTTTCCAGAGACTGATTAAATTACTGATTGCATCTTCTGTTCACCAGCGCTGTTTAAGGCTAGAATATCAATTCCTTGCTCTATAATAGGCTTTGGAATTTTGCCATAATTCGATCAATCAGTCATGCTTTTCTTTTCTTTTTTTTTGGTGTAATCTTATCTTGAAAATAGTACAGCAACCCTACATGTTGTTCCTGGGTACATGACTGAACACAAAAGACCATCCCTCGTGCAACTGCTGCGCAGTATGTTGAGTTATAACGAAATTAAACCACATCTTGAGACGGATTTTTTTTCTGTTTGATTGTATTTGCTGTTTAACATATAGTTCTGGGTATCCATACATCTAGCACAAAATACTCTGCCAAATACTGCAGTTATTTATGAATTTTATTCCAATGCCCATCTTGTTTATTCTTTTACTTTGGCCATGTATCAGCAACAAAAAAATAAGTAACATTTTGTCCATTGCCCTTATACTTAAGAAAACATGCAGTGTGACTTCTCACTACATTAGCCTTATCAAAACACCTATTTGGCCAAGCACTATCCTCTTACTTCCTTCTACTAGACTAGTAGGTAATTGGTTCTAAAACTATGCCCAACAGAATAATCACTTCAGTCATTTAATGTACACAGACCAGTCTCACCTTTAAAAATGTATGTCCTAAAAGCATTCACTCAGTGCCCTGGATGAGGTTATCAATATTCAAAATAAAATCCAAAGTATCAACAGCTGTAAAACCCAGAGCTAAGCACTCAACAGCACATGGTTCACACTCATGCCAGCTCCTATTTTAACACAACTAAGAAATCAGCTCAATTCCCACTGCCTGACAGCTCTCTTGGACACCTAAGGGATCTGGAGGTCCAAGAGAAATCATGTCTCCTGGTTGGAGGCTAAGGTCGCCTCTGACGGTGTAGTCTGACAGTAGCTCTGCCTTCTCCAGTGGCAAGGCTTTAGCCTGCCTTCACCTGCTGGTGCCAAGGCAAGAATGTGCAGCCTCTTGGCTTCCTCATTCACCCAGACACCAACAGCTGTGAACACCAACGGTCCAGCGGCCATCCAGAATCTGAGCCAGAAACGTCCCGTGTGTCAGGCAAACTGAACACCTTCCTTCCACCCAGGAAATGCACACACTAGTACATTCTTCCATCCATACAAAGTTCTCTGACAAAGCTTTTTGGGGATTAAAGAAAAAAAGAGAGAGGTTTTCCTATGACCTTAACAGCTACACAGAAATAATATTTTCTTCCCCTCAGTATCATCAAGTGACTCCTTTCTCCACATCTCAAGAGCTGGTTTGACCATGAAGACTACTGAGTCCAGCATAGCTCCCAGACTCTTTGATGAAAAATAAAGCAACAGCATTTCAAGAAAAAAAACCAACTGATTTGTAATTGCCTTGTATTTGCAGGTCTCAGAAAGCACAGAGACCCCTTCAAACGGCAGGGTTCTGAATTGTTTTTCTATGAGTTTACAGCAAACGACCTAGGCATGTTTCCATGATCACAGTTTACAAAGCAAGAGGCACATGGAGGAACAACACGCTGTTTGCTTGGCAGACTTTGAAACAGCTTTTGGCTGCTCTTTCAGCTACTGGAAGCTGCACACGCTGCTTTACTTCCCTGTTTGCAAGGAGAGAAAAGACCCTTTCAACAGTGGTCTTCAGAGGGAACTGTCTTAAAAGTCAACAGGATGAGACCCCTGACTGTTCTCTGTGCTCATCTTTCCTTCCAGGGCCACCATAAACTAACATTTCATAGCAAATCCTGGACATATAATTTTGATCAAAGCATTTTCCATTCCTCCTTGACATTTGGTCAAATTTTCTTTGATAGAAAAACATCTGATCACTTTTTTTCAAGTTTGAAATGAAACTTAAGAGCTTAATTTAGCCTACTGCCTTGAATCTGCATTTTAGATAAAAAAGAAAGTTTAAATTTGGTAGAACCTGTCAAAAGCTTCTCTCTTGACACAGTCAAATGAAAAAAAGGATCAGCATGTTATCTTGATATTCAACATTTCATCCCATGTTGGGATGAATACAAATGTAGAAGGAGTACTGTCACTTTCTCCAGAATAAAAATCAATTTTTTTTTTGCTACATCTTGCCTCAAAGATTAATGAATTGTAAAGCTGTTTCTTTAGTTCACGTAGGGTCGTTAGCTTCAAGGAAGGTAGAAGGGTACAGCTGGGCTGGACCCCTGCTTCCCCCAGGGCAAGTTTTTCACTCAGTACACGTTCCCCTTCCTGTAATGAGCAAAGTGCTGGCAGGGCACGCTCTTTTAAACGGCCGCAGTAGGATGCCAAGCCAGCCAGCGGTCCTGGTAGACATCTCAAGACTTACCTCCCTGATTTCTTTGATTTTGGAACCTCCTTTTCCTATAAGAGATCCACACTGACTTGCAGGGACGACGAGCCGCAGCGTTACAGGCGGTTTGCTTGTCACCGTGCTGTTTGTCATTGAAGCGTTTATGTCCTGCAATCACAACGTCAGGGAGAATTAGTGGAGGGTTTGTCACTCCTGGTAAGCACTGAAGGGCTCAGAGGAAATGCCTGAGCTGTTCGTAGAGACCTGGGGAGCATACAACTGGTCACGGTTTGTTTCTGTTGCAGGTAAAGCCTGTGATACACCATGAGCACAAACTACACAAGCGGCTTGTGCCAGAGGAAAGGACCTTTTTGCTGCCTGGCCTTGCAGGTCCACACTTTGGGACCAGCAGACAGTCTCTCAGACAAGGCTAGGAGACGGAGGAGGAGGAGGTGGTATCTGTCATTTAGACCAGCCAAAGCAGATGGAAAAGACAGAGAGGCTTTTGAGTTCACAGGCCCCCAAATCCTGATCTGGTCTCTTTCCCACCATCTCAATGAGAACACTTCTACTAAGTGATAGGTCTTTACATTTCACACCATTTCTTGTCAGGCTTGATACGAAGAAAAAAGGTTAAAAAAGGGAATGACAAAGAATCTGTGAATAATCTGAAGCAGAGAAAATTTAATTATTTTGATAAATATTTTGCTGCCCCCCAGGTTTAATTTCTCTTTTGTAGCAGATCCATAAGTATTTGTAGCACTACTCAATTTCTAAAATCTTTTCCATCACAGCTGTATAACTAGTGTACAAAGAGCTCAGCAGAACAGCAATTACCTGTATCCAGGTCAGGTAACCTACGTCCGTGTACCTTGTTATCCAATGAAACTACACTATATGTTCTTACGAGCATTTCAACATACCACTGGCTGCAAGGTTAAGATTGTTTAAATATATTTTGTTTGTTCAAAATCTTCTATGCAAGACAAAACAAACCCTCTAAAGTCTTCATTACAGTGGAAAAGATAAAGCTTATCTTCTCACCGATCAAGGGGATGCTGTTGAAAGCACTTAGGATCACAAAAAAACCAGCCATAAGCTTCATGGCACCTATCCAACGACTCATGAAAATCTCAATGGGGTTTGCTAACACTAGTTGTGAGCCGAGAAGACCATCTTATCCATCTGTGAGGTGGCATGGCACAGCTATTACACCCTTCACAAAAATGCTACCCAAAAAATTAGGGCAGGAACAACAGCAAACATGCATTTTCATATTCATTTAACTCATTTATGATGCAACAAGAATTTCAGCACACAGAACTGATGTGACTCCATACATTCTTACTTATCAACGCTACCACTTATTAAAAAATAATAATAAAAAAGTGCCTATACTGTGTGATTGGAACTTCAAATTAAAAAAAAAAAGATAAAAAGTACTTTAAACAGCTCTGCATGCCTTGCTGAACCAACGTGGGAGCTCAGTGGCACCAGCACTGATTTCTACAGTACCTACACACTTCTGATGGCAGCATTCTTGCATCCAATAAATGGCTGACTGTGACCTTGCTTACCTTAAAAGAAAAGAAAAGAACCCTGAACAGAATGAGGCATTGCTGCACGCCTAAGACAGCTATCAAATCACTCCTCTGCCAGCCAGTAACTCATATTTTGTTTAGTGCTCGTGTCAGTGAGAGATTGCAATCCAAAATAAAGCAAGAGGGATAACTGATTTTTGCAGCCCCCATGTATCTGAAATAAAGCCCAAGTCATGCCCAATTTTTCAGGTGGATGATGACATCTCACTATGTCATGTCTGTGTTCAGGTGGAGGCACACGATCATCCAGACATAGGTAAATATCCCTCTACAGCCACCCAGCACAACCCTGATAATGTCTCCTACTTCCATATCATATCTGGCCTGTCCTGAAACTCTTCACTGCACTTATTGCTTCCAAAAGCACTTCATGAAAATTGGAAGCTGCCATTCTCTTTATTTTCTCCTCATCATTTAAAAAGACCAAAACCTAAACACGCAGCCTCAGCAGCACAACCATAAGGTACCAGTCCAGCTTAAAAACACAACAAGAGAGGAATGAATGGAAAAAAATCTCCTCCAAAACTTCAGGCCCCCAAGTAGGGTTGACTAGAGGCTTCCTCACAGAACAGCTGTTTCTCAAGCTGGGAGATTCCTATTTCTTTACTGCCTTACTGTCTGTGGCACCGCATCCATTTCCTTGGGGTTCTGGCAGACACTAGAGCTGGACCTTGCGTGGTTTTTTGCCCACTTGCCTGGGCTGCTCCCCAGCCAGGATGGGCTAACTGGGAAGTGGAACTCGCGGGAAAGCCAGCTCCCAATCTTGAAACCTTGCAGCATCCTTAGCTCCTGACACCCCAGAGTCACAGTGTCTAAGGCTTCCCAAGGCAAGCAAACCTGGCAGCTCAGAAATTTACCAAACCTCTGGGGGAAAATGTGTCATAATTCTTTTTTGCTGGTTTCTAAATGAAATGCTAGACCTGCCAATTTCCACAGCAAATACAATGAGTCTGTGAGGTGGCTCCTCACTCAGTAACGACCACCCACAGTATTTATCTTAGTTGTAGCAGCAGGAGTTAGTATTTGTCATAAAGGCACCATCTCAATTGCTTTTATCACCTCACCTTTATCTTCTCCTTATTCCTAAAGCTGAGTAATTTCTTCATAAATGTTTGCAAAGAGAAAAGAAAAAGTTTGTCAGGATCCTTGTCCCTTTGGAAAAAGTCTGACCACTAAGCTCTGCCTGCTGGCTTTTCCAGCACATAACTACCACTTGCTTCCAGTGGATTATGCATATTTATACCCAAAACCAGAGGTGCCCCACACACCAGTGGGCTTACAGCTGCATTTCTTGGGTCTCAGCCTCCAGTCTGGAAATAACTGCTCTAAAATGCCCTCTCTTGCAACTCCAGTTGTCTGCTTGGGTTAATGCCATTTTTTAACAAGTCTCTTTTTTGCTCTACAGTGAATACTTTAGTTGTTTATGTAATTACCTACCTAGCTTGTACATTCATCATCAGGCTGCTAGAAGATCAACTTTTATTAGGAAGGTTGTCAGAACAGAGTGATGTCAGGCTACAGAGCAACCCCACAGAGACCACTCCTCCCAATCTTTATGTTTTTCTATCTGACACATTTTGAGATTCTTGCTAACATTAGAAAAGCATTACAGGGCTCCCATGCCTTCCTAGACCTGCTTATCCGTAGCTACATACCTGTAGGGTTGAAATTAAGGTTCAAGGGCTTCCTGTCAAAATGCTTTGCGTGAGTACGCATAACAAATACCAAAAAGTCCCTCAGAGCTGCACTCTCACACATGCATCCTTTTTGCTCTGTTTGAAGGTAGCTGTGATAACCAGACGTGGGCCAGGCACTGTCTGTTCTGGGCTCAATTTTTTGAATGGCTGAAGAAATCTCCAACAAAAAGATATGCATGAAAAATACCATGTGGTAGCTAGCTCATTTGTCATTTCTGAAACAGCACTATTTTTTTTTTTCTCCAAAGTGTTACAGTTACCTCACTTTATTGAGCAGGAATAATTACAGGAAACGTAACTGATTGTGTAAGACATTTTTCTTTACCACTGTTTTTATTAATATACCCGAAGTCAATTATATTAAAACTAAATACAGATATTGCAGAATATGTAACCGCAGTACCTGATCTGCAGGGAGTGCCAATACCCCTTTGCTAATACCCACATGAAAAGTCCAGATTACCCTCTAAAATTTACATGGATAAATATGCATAAAATCTAGTCAGATGCCTGAATTTCAGATTTCTTTGGTTATTTCTAGTTATAGCACTTTCCAAGACTATGGTGTGTTGGGTGGTGGGGTGGGGATCCAATGCTGTGCAGTATTCAATGTCTTTATGAGAAATGCCGTGTTAATTCCACTGGGTTCTCATTTTGGTGGAAACTGGCAGGAATTACCTCTGTTAATGATTCCCTCAGCATTTTTCATGATAAGGCCCTAAGCAGAAAATGTTTTTTGTGTAGACAGTAGAGTATGCTCTCTCCAGGTCTCTGTGGATTGCAGGGTATGGTACCATACATGAAGCTGCCTCTTAAGCCAGAAGAAACAGGGATTGGTACAAGATGGGTAGGAGATAAAACTGAGAAAGAGATGACAACAGGTGGTTTTAAAATTGGGCTGGACAGAATTACTTGTGTAGTTCTACAGGATTCAACTTCAAAATTATTATTATCTCATTAATAACTGGTAAGGAAAAAGAATTAGTGTCCTTATAAAATGTAATGTGCCACAAAATCAGGGTACTTTATCAACATGTTGAAAGATTGGAATATCACCCAGGAAGATCTGAAAATCCATGAAGGATTGGAGAAATCTAAATGGGATTCACATTTGCAGTATGAAAAAAAGGGTCATTTTTCTGCAAGCTGATAGGAATGTCTGCCGAGACCAAAGAGGTTCCCATGGAAAACACCTGAGCAGGTGCTGGGGGTACCCACCAGGCACAGCATGGTTGAGTGCAAAACATTACACCAGAAGGAGGTAAAGCATTTCCAGCTGTGATAGGGATATGTTAGGATGGTAAGTAGGGCAGGGGACTGCTAGCGCCATTTAGTAAGGCCTTGTGGAACTTCATTTGCAACCTGTTCACAATTAACATGCACATTTAACATAAAATGTAACTAGAAAAAGGCAGAAAGGGACTACTAGAGTCACGAGAGGGGTGGGGAATGCATCCTCTGAAACACTGAGGTTGGCTCACTTACTCTGGTAAAAGCAAGGGGGTGAGAGGATAAAACTGGTCTCGAAAAATACATCTAAGAGGGGAATGTGAGGGATGGAAAGTCAAGAATTATTTAAACTAATGGACAGTGCTGGCACAGAAACAAAGCTTCATAAACTGTTTGTGAATAAACTCAGGTGAGGAGTGAAAAGAAGGTGTCTAATTGTCAGAGAACTGAGGTTGTGGATCCAATATCAGGAAACAGAAAAAAAAACCCTAGTTTTTGATCATGCTGTGAAGGTGCAAGCTGCAAGACATACTGCTTATGCTAAAAGACAACTACATCTGACGACCCACAAGCTCTCTTCTAGTCCTGTTGCTCTAAATGTGAACAATCCTCATGGGTAAATATAGGCACATGCTGACATTTCTATCAATGCCAGCATCCCCCAGTGCTATGGGGAGATGTGGAGACTGACCTCACTGACTCAGAGAAATAAGTACTCTTAAGAAAGGGATTCACATTCCTCTAGTTTAATCATTGATGGAGAGATGGAGTTGCTTTCTTCCTTTCTCCTGCTGCAGATGGTTCAGCCCACCTGTCTGCAGGCTCTTCCTTTAGGAGAAGGTGAATTGCCTTCTGCCTCTGTCTCTCCAGAGAGGACAGGAGAGATGCCTGGACTAGACACACGATTATTGAAAGTAGAGGGAGTTAAATACTCTCCTGAGTGACCAGGGTTCATGTTCTGCTGTTCCTTCTGTGAGGTTTTACATTAAAGTGGGTGACCATATCTAACTGTAGTTGGTTCATGAAACTTGAAGAGATCCCAGCACTTTAGTTACATATATTTGCACAGAACGGTTATTCTACGGTAAATTGAGCTCTTGCCTCACTTACTCTTAGTGCCTTTATTTTAATTATTTTTAAAAGCCAAGTTTTAAATATGGTATTTTGTAATTTCTAATCATATGGTTTGTTTTTAAAATAAAAATTTTCCAGTTAGATGAGTTATATATTCATTTTGACATATATAAAATTTACATCAATACCAAATGGAATCACATAAAAGCAGAGCTAAAAGTTAGGCAATTATTCTTTTCAAATCAAACCCACAATGGGACCAGAAATTTTCCAAGACATTTTTCCTACCATTAGTGCACATTACTAGAAGCAATTGCTTTTCCCTGAAGCCTCCAAAAAGCAAAAGAAATGATCAAACAGCTTGTAAATTGACCCATTATTTTTCTTCAGTGTTACTGCCAAAAGCATTTATAAAAATACAACCACTTTCATTGCTATTAAATAGAACATTAAACAAATCATATTTAACATTAAAGCAAACACGAGAAAATTCAAACAGTGTTTGTATTTCAACTTGAAGAGAGAAAAAACTGTATTTTATTTGCTTACCTCTTCAAATTTTAGTGCAATCATAGAAAAAGCTTTAAAAATCGCATCTGTTGGGCCTGTTATTGTCACAATTCTCTCTGGACAGGAGCCTTCTGAAATATTGATTCGAGCACCACTCTGTCAAAAAAGAACAAATATTTTTCAAATTTATACTTCCCAGGGAGCAAACTAAGTAGGATTAGGGATGTAGTTTGGGAAAGAATATCTTGAGGCACCTAATTCCCTCCCCTACAATTGCAGCCCCAACATCATATAATTTCAGCATAAACTGATCACACTCCAAAAATTCATTTAACTGCAGGAAGCCGGATTGTGTCTGGGCAAATACTTACATGGCCTTCATCGCCATATGGAAATAACACCTCTGTAAATCAAAGTTGCAAACAATTGCATAATCAAGTCTTCCCCCTTCCCTCTTGCAGAGTTAACCTTAAGTAGGACCAGAGCTGCACAATTTCAGACAAGGTGGTTGTCTCCAGGGAGCATCAACATCTCCCAGGAAAGCTGCTCCTCCCTGGATTGGAGGTGCCAGGTAGTTTGAGCCCCAAACTCAGGGCTCGATCTATCTGGCGAGGGAATTGCTTTGCACTGTGGAAAAGGTTCCTTATAGATGCGTCTCAAGTGAAGGCAGTCAATTAACATGCACTGAACAACCCTTTAATGGAGTAGCGGTAGGACAGGCAACAGTAATGGTGTTATCTCCTTCAGGCAAGGAGCCTGTTGGAAGGAGTTAGAAAACCATAAATCTTGGAGACAAGCCAGGATGCCTCTCAGGTACACTTAGTCCCCTTTATATTGCTGTGGCAGTGCAAAGAAAACCCCTAAACCAGATGTAAATATATCTAAGAGGATCTCAGTGTAGATAATGATCAAATTCAGTTCAGGTAAGACCCACTCTATGCTTTCCCTGAGGTTTCAGGTGCGGAAATGTGTTAATGCAAGTCACTGGAGCCTCAACTCATCCACAGGCACTGATCTTCCCAAGGATCTAGGCCTGTAGCAAACATGAGATAATCTGGGTTAATTTGGCCCTTTTCCTTCAGGGTTACCACAAATGATCCGATGTGTTGTGTGTCTGAGCCCTTATTCATGTGCTTACTGCTGCTCAAAAGCAAGATATCCTATTTCCCCATATGACATCAACCAAATATAACATGAAAAAAACCAACACTACTGATTGGAAAATCTTGTTGCCATGGAGTGGGCTGGCAGACGTATTCATAGATAAGAATGCTTCATCCCTGGAGGTGTTCAAGGCCAGGCTGGATGGGGCTTTGAGCAACCTGGTCTAGTGGAAGGTGTCCCTGCCCATGACAGGGGGGCTGGAATTAGATGATCTTTAAGGTTCCTTCCAACTCTAACCATTTTATGATTCTGTGATAAGAAATGGCAGCAGACACTTCTTCTTACAGGTCAACCAGCGTGAGACTAGCCCCCATCAAACACCAGCACTGGATCAGGAAGGAGATCAGGGCACACAAACCCAGGGCCATGGGACTCAGCCTGGCAGGGAGCATGCCAGGAGCCATGCTGGGCAGAGCTGCCCACAGCAGGCAGGCCTGCCCACCCCACCCCACTGCCTTTGCCCAAAGCATGGCTCTTTTGGAGCCATGGGAGCTCGTCTGAAAGATCGCTCCACCATGGGTCAGCGCAAGACAAAATTCACAGCTGTCACTCCTCCTATAGATGATTGGTCACAGCAGAGCTATGGCATTTAAAATGCTGTGTGGTGGTCTCTGTATTTGCATAGGAAGTTAACAACTGCAGGGAACAGAACCAAGGTTTTTGTACTTTTCTTTAGGCTTGAAGTTGTCTCTGACATTTCCTCAATGACAGAAGAAGACAAAGTTGCATTTCATTCCATAAAGATGGCATGCAACTTGCTCCGTGAGGAAAGCAAAAATAAAGTTCCATTTTGCTTTGAAAGAAGTACTAAAGAAGGCACTCATTTATAGGAGGACCAAGTTATCATCATGTGGGGACATTGCTTCTTAGTCCTGTGCTGATATAAAGAAGCCTGGTCATGGCTTCTCTTCTGTGCATGCAATTTATTTCCAAAGATATCTGCCCATGATCATAATTAATAATTAAAATGAAATGTGTTTAATCAACTGGCAAGATTACCTAGTATATTGGAAACTTTTTTTCTTGTATATTTTTAAGTCTTAGCAAATCTACTTATGTATGAGAATATGGGTGAAAGCTCTTATTATTAAAAAGGAGCTCTGAACGCAGTCCGCCTGCCAATGAACTCCCTATTGTGTATATTTAAAGATGGATCTCAGCAATTTTCTTTACTACAAATACTTTGAGATTTCCCTGCCACAGACCTTCTATCAGTGGATAAAACACCATAGCGGCTGAGAGAGTAATGTACTGCATATTTACCAGAACCAAATTGACTTTTCTTGAGGCATCCTCAATACGCTTTGCAGCCCTAAAGTTTTAAACAGTAGGATTTGTCTTTTGACTTATGCTTTTAGCACTTGCTTCAAAGAAGGAAAATTGCATGGATGTCCAGGTAAGATGTGCTGCTTTGCAGGACAAGTGTGGGTCTGTAACATCTACCTGGGCATGATCCTCTGAAGACAGTGCAGCTTGCTCTGTGGCATGGAAAGAAGCCCGCAGACACTGCAGAGACTGAGGTTTATGCAGAACCATGTTTTAGTTCAGCTTTTTATGTTTACAGCCTTTTCAAAGGATGTGAATGGTGGGTGCGCAGGTCTACCCTGTCCACACCCTACACACAGCTGCAAAACGATGAACAGTTAAGGCTTTGCCAAGACATGGCAGAGGGATAGTTTGGCTTATGCAAATTTGGCTCCAGATCTGCTGAAGCTTGTGCCTACCCTCAAACTTTATGCAGCATCAGTCTAATTCTTTGTTTCAGATTTTGGAAACTCTCTACCAAGAGGCCGAGCCATGCGCTGGACTGATCTTGGTATGCTAAAGAAAGATACCGTGGTTTTAATGCACAGAATCATGCTGGCTAAGCTGTTCCTGAGATAAGACAGCAGCAGGCATATTGCTATGGGAATGAAAGACTCCAGACTGCTGCGGCGATAAGGAGGCTATATTCACAACAACGCTTAATTTAGGCCAGCGCATTCATACGCCACCACTTGCACAGAACGGTGATGTTAAATTAACTCCCCACTCGATGGCAGTGTCGGTCTGCGCACACTGAATTTCTCTGTTCTCTGAGCCGGAAAAGAAAGGCAAGTAAAGACATCAAGGCTTGTCTTACCTCCTCCCTCATCTTCTTAACTGTCTCACCTTTCTGTTAAAGAAACAGAAAAAAAGTTAGCCCGGGCTGATGAAGTGAACTGATATACAATATTTTGACATGAAAATAAAGAGAGAAAGTAATTTCCTGACCTTTCCGATAATGCTTCCAACCTCCTGAAACAGAAAAAAAAGACACCGTGAATGATACGATTTGCTACAGAGGAGCATTTGCTCTGCTCCTAAGCTATTTCACTATCACTTATTTCAAACCTGCCATGTGAAGCCTAGCCCCCTTCCATTGTTGCTGTATACAAATATGTCATGTTAGATACAAAGGGGTGGACTAAAAACGCAGCTTTGCAGCTTACTGATTGTGCAAAACACCTTTAACAGAAACTGATCTTGCAGTTACAGATCAATCCTGCTACTATAAACACAGATAAACCTCTATCAGAGACTGAAAAGTTCAGAAATAATAGAACTGCACAACCTGCTAGAGAAAATGGGATATATAATACAGGCATCAAAATAATTGCTGATCTCTCTGAGGCCAGGCATTTACCCTCTTTACACCATGTAATAGCTAGAGCTGAATTTCCATGCTACCAAGTGTTACTGCGTAAACACCTGGTGGCCTGTCATAATCTCCCTATTAAGCACTTACAGAACAATAATTGCTAATCACTTTTTAGGGATTTGGGAATTGCTACTGGGTTCCCACAACCTTCCATGAAGGGACAGAAAATACTAAGAAATGTCAGTATGAACATACCACAGGGAAACAATTTAGCAGTTCTGGCATAATCCCAAGAGTTAAAAACTCAGTGCATAAAACCAACAGGTAGCAAAAATGAAGCTAATAAATCTAAAATTAATAGTCTGGACACGTTACACAAATCCAACAGGTATGACGTCAGAGTGGAAACCATCTGATGGAAAGGAGACCAGCTAAAGGAAAACAAACTCCTTTTCTATACTCAGATTGGGAAATCTACTTCAACTGTTAAAGACTGTCTCATGTGGCTGATCTGTCCCAGACATATGATATACAGGTCCCTCCTCCTGTCTTCCCCAGTCTATATACTTACGTTTGACCCATTCTGAAACAGCCCAAAGAGTAAGATTTAAGAAATTGTCCTCCATTTTTCTATCCAATGATGGATTCATGATAAAGTGGTATTAGCTTCACCCTGATGTAGAGGACTACCTGGAGTGTCATTGAGAGACACTCACCAGAATTTTATTTATAAACTTATAATATGAAGCTGCTTGTTCTTTCAACTCCTCACATCCTGCTCACCAAGATGTAAAGACTTTGCAGTGAGAAGAAGACCTATCTCAATGAAGAACTTTGGTATATGGCTCCTTTGCACTCACTGCAAGTCTGCAGGTAAGTCACCAGCCTTGGGGGAAAAGTCAACACACTACTGGACAAGGCTGCTAGACAGGCTGAAGAAATGGGCAAGTTCTGCTGGCTGATGTACAGTAGACCTTCATATGTTACACAGTTGTGTGACTGGTCTTGCTAAAGCTTCCTGTGTTCTTCTGGGATGGTGACACCTCTGTACATCTGCACATACAATGCAAAGAAGCAGCTCTGTGAGAAGAGGAATGAATGAAGCAGACATGCTGCAGTTTTGTGTCTTGTGACCAAACTATCCCATGTCTCTTAATGTGTGGGTTTAGGTCATGCCTTTTCGCCTTTTCCCACAGCTGAGACAGCTGTACCAGCACACTGCATAGCTCTCTAATGGGGTGCAGCTTTTTTGTTAGCAGTGACACAAATTTGGGATACTCATTCCACAAAATTATTAAGATTTTACTAGTTTTTTTGTATTATCACTCTAACTCTGACAACCTGCCTGTAACTGTTGAATGGGATTAAACAATACAAGGAATAAGACTCTCAATGATGGTAAGCCTTGGGAACTCCTCATGTCCAGTAGTTCCTATCTGCCCACTCAGCAAATTCAGCAGTTTTACCTTGAAAACTTTTTCCATTCTTCTCAGTTGCAGCTTTCAGAAATTATTTATTTCGTAAAACAGATTCTTAGGAGGTAGAAGGACCTTTTGCTATGGGTGAGCATATTGTTCTTCAATTGCTATGGGCAAGCAATCGTATTTCAGTCCGTGGTACAATTCCAGTTTTTGTGTATCTGAAGTTTCATCAGAAGCTATATGCCTGGTCTTGAAACTGCAAGGCTCTGCCAGTATACACTTAGTATGAAATCTGTCCCAATCCATCTCCTAAGTCTGTGGGAGTTTTGCTACTGATTTCAGTGGGGACAGGAATTCTTCCTGACTGATCATCACCTTCTTATTACCAAAAAGTGCAAGCTGCCAAAGAACTGAGAGAATGAACAGTGCCAATCCCACTGAGGAAAAATATTTCAATGAGACTGGTCACCAGTTCCTTGGAACGTGCTAGGAAATGTCACTGTAATGCTAAGGAGTACTTCTAATCTTTACCTCCTTCCAAGGGTGAATTTAAAGCTTATTCTATAATGAGGCAGTTTCAAAACACCCAAGTAAACACCACCTCTACTCCTGCACGGGGAGCTGGGATTCTGTTTGAAAATGTGAGGGAAGGGTGCAGGGGGAGAGAGTGAAACATTAACTTCACATGGATATTCCTAATTCTCCAGAATTTTTGATCTATACAAATTACAAAAAAAAAAAAAAATTAAAATCTAGAATGGTTCTAAATGGGTCACTTCAGACTTTTTTGGTGCCTTAGCTGTTTCTAGGAAAGCTCCCATAAGCACTGGTGACAATGGATCATGTCTTTAACTATGATGAGAAACCTACTTCTGCCTCATATAAAATCAGAAGATTCTTTATATCTCACTCTCAAAACTACCAATGCTACTTCATCAAACCTTTGACAATTCTTTATACAGTACAATATTTGTTTCATATATATTCTTATATCACCCTAAAGTACATTTAGTGCTTAATGAGATACCTAACACCATTTTTACGACACTCAAGTTTTATCAATATTTCTCTGAAAGGTTACTTTGAGGGCTTCATCTTTTTCAGAAAATGTTTCTGAATCTGCCAGAGACCACACTGTGCTGCAGTTAACTGCTTACGACTGAAAGGATGGGACCTCTGTCACCTACATCAGTTCATTAAAAGTTAGGAGTCTAGTGTAAGGCAGGCACACAGCTTCCTCTGCAGCCCAGGGAGAGAGATAATGGGGGATGTTTTGTTCCTAAAAGAGGAGGGAAGAAGCGTGCTCCCGAGGGTTTATCTTTTCTCCATCCACAGTAGAAGAAGCCTAGACTGACACTAACATACCTGAAGCTTGGTGATAGGAATCCTACAGCTGATGTCAAATTCAGCCTCAGTGCAGGTCAGACAGGATCTGATTTAGCTGTCGTAGCAAATACTACCTGCTAGAATATACTAATAGCTCTTGAACTATTTGCTGTTTCCCGGTGCTCAGGAATATAAGCTAAGTATTTATGATCAATTTCAGATTGATTTATTGACTAACCATCTACTTGTAAACACAGTGAGAAAATTAGTTATATGACAACAATTACTGGGTTCATATAATCACACTTCAACAGCTGATCGAAAAGCAGTGCACAAAAAAAAAGAAGTTATAAATGGGATAATTAAAACTCAGAGGGAGAAAAACAAGTCCAAGGCAATCCAGCAGACTGATGTCAAAGCTAAAAGTACTACCCAAGCTGCTTGGCCTCAACATATAAACTCCTGCCTGTCAGAAGCAGATATGGCACAGCAACCGTGCTGGGTGAATAGGATACACCCTAAAAGCTAAATGTGTGTGTGTGCCTACGTCCACCGATACACACGCATTTATATATTTGTGTGCAAAGTCAATATATACATACAGGCACCAAAGAGATAGATATGAACTTTCCTTTGAGAAATGACAGCAATTTGGGGTGCTTATCTAGAAGTTCATCAAAGGGTCTTGAGCTTCAGATTATGGAGAGTACCCAGCCCAGGTAATGCCTTCCAAAGGGCATATCTCCAGGTGACAGTATCTCAAGCAGGACAGCTTGGGCTCCAACAGCTCCATTTTGGAAAACCCCAGGACAATTTTAAATGCTCATGCTGATTTCAGGTAGCCTGAAAATAAAACTTTAGCCTGGGGGGCTGAGGTGATTTATGTCTATGATTCTCTTTAGTATGCCATTTCTAACAAAACGGATAAAATGACAAGAGGTGAACCTCATCAACATGCACTGACAGACTGCTCAGCATCAGCGCAGTATATTTCTAGCCAACCACCCAATTCATTGCAGATAACTTGAGGAAAGGCAACGGTAAAAACAGGAGATGTTTTCTTTCATGCTGAAATGCAGCATGTGATATTATTTGCATATCTCATTCAGATGAATGGGGTGAGTTTTACTTTTAACGAACGCTTGGGGAGCCGTGGGCCCACCGCAGAGCAGAAGGCTATTTCTGCAGTTTTTGCACCGTCTGTGGTGAGGGCAAGGCAGCACCAGCAGAACAAAAGGTGGGAGCAGAGAAGCCTGTGAGCCAAGGCATTTGCAGGGGTCTTGATGGTGGGAATGACTAAAGAAAGATATAAAATAGACCGTAGGAGAAAGCTGTTTCCTAAACAATTATCTGGTGTGCCTTTTGAATTAAAAGAGAAAGAAATTAGTCATGTTAAGAAAACAAGAGGCTTAAAAAATGGTAACAAACCTTAGTATAAAGATTAACCTTTGATCTGTAAACATAATATGTGAAATTCCACCATTTTTCTAAGTGTGAGGCTAGTTTAATAATTACTGTGGTCCAGGAAATGAAAACAAAAAACCTAACTCTTCCAAGACCTTATAAAAGCACAGGCCTCGCTCTATTACCATGAGCATCCAGCTTCTATTATCAGCACTAAGGGGTGAATGGAACACTAAACTCACAAGAGCCCTGAGATAAAGCCATTTGAGAAGGAAAACCCTTTAAAGAAATAATATAAGAATACATAATTTCAACCCAAAGCATCAGACAAAGCACAGGCCGCATCCTAAAGCCTGCAATTCATTCAGGCAATGCTTTGATTGCATACATCTACCTGCTTTCTATGAGCAAGGATAAGGTAAGAACCAGTAGGACAGGACTCTACAAACAAAAAAGCCCGCTAGAAAAACATTGAAAAAAAAAGGAATGCAGCCTTCCATAGTGGG